ACATAGAGATCAGAACTTTATAATTTACCATCAGAAGTTCCCAGAGAGTCATCTAACTGAAGAGGGTCAAAACACTTCTGCTTTTCCTGGGCCAGCAGACCAGAAGAAGCGTGGGTTGCCATCAGAACCTCTCAAACCTGTTTTTTATCAACAAGAATTTCCAGACAGTCCTCTAACTGAACAGGCTCAGAGAGTTTCATCTGCTCCTGGTTCAGCTGACCAGAGGACTGGGATACCAACAGTATCTTCAAGTTCCTCCTCATTGGAAGGGAAACCTGTTATTTTCTATACACAGGCCTTACCAGAGAGACATCTCACAGAAGAGGCTTCAAAAGTTTCAGCTGTTCCTGGGTCAGCTGACCAGAGGACTGGGATTTCAGCAGTAACCTCTATACCTTATTCACATAGAGATCAGCCCTTTATATTTTACCAGCAGGAGCTGCAAGAGAGTTCTCTAACTGAACAGGCTCCAGAAGTTTCAGCTGCTCCTGGGTCAGCTGACCAAAAGACTGGGATATCAACAGTATCTTCAAGTTCCTCCTCACTGGAAGGGAAACCTGTTATTTTCTATCCACAGGCCTTACCAGAGAGAAATCTCACAGAAGAGGCATCAGAAGTTTCATCTGCTCCTGGATTAGTCAACCAGAGGACTGGGATATCAGTGGTAACTGCTACTCCTTATTCACATAGGGCTCAATCCTTTATAATTTACCATCAGAAGTTCCCAGAAAGTCATCTAACTGAAGAGGGTCAAAACACTTCTGTTGTTCCTGGGCCAGCAGACCAGAAGCGAGGGTTGCCATCAGAACCTCTCACTTCCTACTCACACAGAGATAAACCTGTTCTTTTTTATCCACAAGAATTTCCAAACAGAGTTCTAACTGAACAGGCTCAGAGAGTTTCACCTGCTCCAGGATCAGCTGACCAGAGGACTGGGCTATCAACAATATCTTCAAGTTCCTCATTGGAAGGGAAACCCATTATCTTCTATCCACAGACCTTACCAGAGAGACAACTCACAGAAGAGGCTTCAAAAGTTTCAGCTGCTCCTGGGTCAGCTGACCAGAAGACTGGGATATTAGTGGCCTCTCCTCCTTACTCACATAGAGAGAAGTCTGTTATATTTTACCACCAGACCTTGACAAACAGTCCTCTAACTGAAGAAGTTCAAAAAGTTTCACCACCTGGATCAGGTGACCAGAGAACCGGAATACCAGTAGAAACTTCTGTTTCTTACTCACACAGAGAGAATCCTATTATTTCTTACCAGCAGGATTTGTCAGGAAGTCATCTAACTGAAGAGGGTCTGAAAATTTCAAGTGTTTCTGGATCAGCTGACCAGAAGATTGGCATATCTACAGAGCCGTCTAGTTCTTATTTATACAGAGAAGAGCCTGCCATTTTTTACCAGCACGAGTTGCCATATGTTACGGAACAGGCTTTTAAGGCTTTAGGGAGTCCTGGAGCAATTGACCAGAAGACTGGGATATCAACAGTAACTTCTTACTCACATAGAGAGAAGCCCATTGTCTCTTACCAGCAAGAGTTATTAGAAACTAATGAAGAGGTTTTAAAACTCTTAGGGGTTTCTGAATCAGTTGACAAGAAAACTGGTATACAAATTGTCCCTACTACGCTTCTTAGAGAGAGCCCTACCTTTTCATATGAGAAGGATTTGCCAGATACTACTGAAGAAGCTTTGAAAGTTTCACCTGTTCCAGGGCCAGCTGAGCCACAGACTGGTAAAAGAATTGTATCCTCTACTTCTCTTAGAGAAGGCCCTATCTTTTCTTACCAGAAGGACTTGCCAGCTATAACTGAAGAAACTTTGAAAGTTTCAGCTACTCCTGGGGTAGCTGACCAGAAGACTGGGATACGGATTGTGTCCTCTACTCCCCTTAGAGAGGGCCCTATCTTTTCTTATCAGAAGGACTTGCCAGACAGTACTGAAGAAAATTTGAAAGTTTCAGCTATTCCTAGGCCAGCTGACCAGAAGACTGGGATACGGATAATCCCTTCTAGTTCCTCTTCATATAGAGAGAAGACTGGTATTTTTTACCCACAGGAGTTGCCAAATCTTCCTAAAGAAACTTTAAAAGTTTTTGCTCTTCCTGGAGCAGCTGAACAGAAGACTGAGTCATCAACAACTTCCCCAAGTTCCTATTTACGAAGAGAGAAGCTTAAGGATTCAACTGTGATTGGACCAGAAGACCAGAAGACTCCGTCATTGGCAGTTCATGATTCTTATTCTCAGAGAGTAAAGCCCAATATTTTCTCTCAGCAACAGTTGACAGAGAAGCATAAAAGTGAAGATATTTTGAACATTTCAGCTGTTCCTGAACCCACTGACGTGGATTCTGAAATACCAGTACCTCTTTCTAGTTCCTATTCACAAAGAGAGAAATCGAGTATTTTCTACTCCCAGGAATTGCCAGATAAACATCTAACTAAAAATGCACTAAAGGTTTCAATTATTCCTAGACAAGCTGATCAAAAGACTCTGATGGCAACAGCTCTTCCTAATTCCTTTTCACACAGAGAGAAACCAGATATATTCTATCAAAATGATTTGCCAAATAGACACTTGGCTGAAAATGCTCTAACATTCTCAAATGGTCTTGAGCAAGCTGAAAAGATTACTGGGTTCTCAACAGTTCCCCCTGATATTTATTCACATAGTGAGAAAAACAAACTTGTTTCAGACCATGTCCAAAAGTTAATAGATAATTTGGATTCTTCTAATTCTAGTTTTATTTCAAACAGTATGCCTTTAAATTCTCAGGCTGAGGGTAGAATTGTAATAAATAAACCAGAATTATCAGGTTTTGAAGATGTTGGCTCTGAAGATGTCCGGGACATAGGCAGTGGTTCCAAAACCCTTAAAGAGATTCGGACACTTTTAATGGAGGCAGAAAATATAGCACTGAAACGTTGTAATTTTCCTTCTCCCCTTGTTCCTTTCCGAGATGTTAGTGATATTTCATTTGTACAATCTAAGAAGGTGGTTTGCTTTAAAGAACCCCCAACAACTGATAACTCTCATGGTGACTTGCCTTACAGACAGTCGTTCACAGAGGAAAACCCAGCCAACCAGGACATCCAGAAAGACATTAGCACACAGGCGAATCTGAAATGCCAGAAAGGCATTGAAAATTGGGAGTTTATTAGTTCAACAACAGTTAGAAGTCCTCTAGAGGAAGCAGAAAGTAAAGCCAGAGTGACTTTAGATGAAACCCTTAGGCAATATAAAGCAGCCCGATCTGTAATGAGATCTGAACCTGAAGGGTATAGTAGAACCATTGGGAATAAACTTGTAATCCCCATGATGACCATCATAAAAAGTGATTCAAGCAGTGATGCAAGTTCCTGTTCATGGGACAGTAATTCCTTGGAGTCAGTTTCTGATGTTCTTCTGAACTTCTTTCCATATGCTTCACCAAAGACAAGCATGACAGATAGCAGAGAGGAAGAGGGTGTGTCAGAGAGTGATGACGCTGGCAGCAGTGTAGATTCACTGGCTGCACATGTGAAAAATCTACTAAAATGTGAATCCTCATTGAATCATGCTAAACAAATACTCAAAAATGCAGAGGAAGAAGAATGTCGGGTACGAGCACGAGGTAGGAAATGATCATTTGTTCCAAAGGCAGGCAAAAGTTTATAAACACTGCTTAATAATTGAAGTGGAGTGTTTGGAATTCTAAATTTATTTTCCTGTAGTCCAAAGTTCTACTTTTTTTTTTTCTTGTAATCCTGAATTTGTATTTATTTATTTTTGATTGCTACTGCAATCTAAAGTTCATTTGACCATTAATGTAGCTAAGTTGTGGTATTAGTAGAGCTAATTTGTTTAAGGTCTTGGGAGCTTAGGTTTTGATGATTGAAAGAATATGGCGGTAACCTTGGATTCCCAAGCTAAAGTCTTATGTTCCCCTAGTCCTCTCATTATAGTTATTCTTAGTTTGTAGGCAGAAACAAAACAACAAACCAAAATAACTAATTTGCTCTTCTCTGTATCACTCTGTCTCATAAAGCTATAGTCTTTCTCATACCCTTTTCTAATAAAACTCTTGGAGCTGTTCTTAGACATTAGAAAAAACTAATCAAGGTATTTCACACTAAAACGTGAGTTAAAGGTTTATTTACTGATCCCAGTGATCTCTAATAGAGTATATTTTAGAGGACAATTTATAAATAATTCAGGCCTGCCTGGGAATCTTCCCTTGAGATTAACTGCTTATACCATTCCATCTATCAATTATGTATATTTTTTCCCCCAGAAAACTCTCAAGTTTTATTTATTATTTTATAATATTGGCAGAAAATGAAGTAGGAACTAATAAGGGAGGCAAAGGAACTGTCTATTTTGGAAGCATGATTAAAATAACAATCATTGAATACTGTATTTACATCCACATCTGGAAAAATATCTGTAGAATATGGCTTAAAAATTATTTCAATGAGGTGATATCTCTCAGAAACTTTTAAAAATACATATAACTGAAAGTACACACCGTTGCTAAGTATTATGGTAGACATTAAATTAGCTATACTAATGATGTGTGTTATCTCAAGTGTTTTTATGCTTTCTCTCCAGCCTGGAACCTGAAGTTTAACTTGGCTCATGAATATGAGTGTGGCTACTCAATTTCAGAATTAAATGAAGATGACCGGAGAAAAGTAGAAGAGATCAAAGCAAAATTGTTTCATCATGAGGGAACAACTGCTTTGTCCAAGGTAGGAAATAAATCTAGATGTTGGAAAGAAGTGTATTGTAATTTGCATCTATTAACCTGGGCATTGAGGATTCCAGTTGAGTCATTGCTAGTCTTTGTCTTAATTCTTCAAAAATTAAGATTTAAGGATTAGGTTTTTACTGATTCCAAATTTTCTACTGAGAAAAGAATCTCTAGGAAAATTAGAATGAATTTGTTTTATCAATATGTTGGTATTATTCTTATTTTCCCTTGAGGGTGATAGCCTGAGATGCAGATGAAGTCTAGCTATTCTCTCTGTATTTTCCCTGGTTAAGAATATTTTCCTCCCAAATGCCCAAAAGTAGATGATTGGGTTAAAAAGATGTGGTACATATATACAATGGAATATTACTCAGCAACCAAAAAGAAACACATGTCTTTTGCAGCAACTTGGATGGAGCTGGGAAAGATCATGCTTAGTGAGATTAGCCAGAAAGAGAAAGAAAAATACCGGATGGTTTTACTCATAGCAGGAGTATAATGGACCAGGCGAGAAAATAATAAGAATAATGAACAGCCATATACCAGAGACATTTTGTGGGGGTGGAGTGGGGAATGGGATCAAAAATGGGGGCAGGGGGGAAGGAAGTGCACGGGACTATGGTGATGGCACACGGGTGACTCGGTGATGGGAAACCCACAGGGATTACAGTTGAAATGAAAAAAAAAAATGTACAAAATGATGTAAAAATAAACTATTATATTATTAAAAAAAGAATAAGAATATTTTCCTGTTTGCGTATATTTGACATTCTTTTTAATAATACCCTTCCACTGTTAACTTTAATTCATAAAAAAGAACATGTGAAACAGTTATAAAAAATAAAGTAAAAATGTCTGCATTTTGGCCCTCCAGCCAGAGAAATAGAATTAATTCAAATGCCACTGAAGTTGTGTCTATCTCTTTCCCTGAATGTGTTGTTTTCTTGATGTTTAGTATGGTTTTTGACTCTATAGTAGATGGAGGCAGCATGATACGTACTCTTCTGAGAATTGGGTTTTTCTTTTACTCCAGGTCCCTCCCAACATGTTACTTATTTCTTGCTTATAACTATTCTGATGGAAGAGCAGTCATACTTCATTGTGTTTTTGATTCATTTCACTAATGATTAATGATATTGATCGTCTTTTCATGTGCTTGATTTTTTTCTTCATTAGATAAGAACAGCAGAACAGGCAGATCAATGAAGTACACTGCTGAAAGGAGCAGCAGGGTGGGTCAGGAGAGGTCTGCCACACCATGTGAATCACCTGGGGTTGTATGGAACTCAGACTGAAGCGGCTGTGGCCAGCTTGCAGTGCAGTGTCCTAACCCATTGCACCACCAGGGAGGGCCCAAAAGTTTTTATTTTGATGAAAATCTAATTATTAGACCTTAATTTTCTATGATTTATGTTTCATATTAAGAAATCACAAAGACTATTTTCTTCATATATTTAAGTTTTTACATTTAGAACTTTGATTTCTTTTGAGGCAATTAAACTGTTTTACTTTATAAAATTGTGGTTAAATATACATAAACAAAAAATTTACTTTCCTGATTACTTTTGAGTGTGCAGTACAGTAGTCTTAACTATTCTCATTGTTGTAAACCCAGGAACCTGAAATGTTTGCTTTCTGTAAAACTGAAAAGTTTATCCATTAAATTATAGCTCTCCACCCTCCCTTCTGCAACCCTTGACAACTGCCATTCTAATTTCTGTGAATTTGATTTTTTGGTGCCTCTGAAAAGAGGGTCAATCAAGTTACTCGTCTTTGAAATTGTTTTTCATTCATTAGTGTTAGATTATAAAGGTTCATCCATGTTGTAGCACTTGTCAGAGTTTCTTTCCTTCTAAAGGACAACTAGTAGCATTGTTATGTGTAAACTATATTTATCCCTTCATTCATCAGTGGATAGAGTTACTTTCACTTTGTTTATTGTGAATAATGCTATAGAAATAATGCTATAGAAATGTCTTTTTGTATCCTGTTTGAAGTTTTGAGTATAAGTCCAGAAATGGAAGGGCTGGATCATGTGCTCATTCTATTTTTAAGTTTTTGTAGAACTGTTATGCTGTGTTCCTTCATGACAATACCATTTTACATTACCATTAAATGTGCACAAGGATTTAATTTGTCCACATTGTCAGTACCACTGGCTATTTCTTGGTTTATTTTGTGGGGATAGTGGTCATCATATAGGTGTGAAATGATAACTTACTGTGGTTTTAATTTGCATTTCCCAGTTAGTGATGTTGAATATTGGTCTTATGTACTTGTCTAATTATGTGTCTTTTTTTTTTATCAAAATGTCTATTCAAGCCCTTTATCCATTTTTTAAAAAGATTTATTTATTTATGCATACAGAACTGGAATATAGGCCAGAGGTGCAGGGGCGGTGAGAGGGATCACCAGAGACAGAGCAGAGAGCAGAACAGGCAGATGGATGAAGTACACTGCTGAGGGGAGCAGCACGTGGGTCAGGAGAGGTCTACAGTGCCATGTGGGCCACCTTCCGAGGTGGGGATTGAACTCATGCTGAAGTGACTTTAGCTTCTTAGTGCTGTGCTTTAACCCACTGCACCACTAGGGAGGGCCCCCTTTACCCATTTTGATTTTTTTTTTTTTTTTTGTTTTTGTTTTAAGTAGAAAGACTTGTTTGTGCATTCTAGATTATAACCCCTTATCAGATAGATGATTTGCAAATATTTTCTCCCATTCTGTAGATTGCCTTTTTACTCTGTTGTGTACTTTTATATATAGATGTTTTAATTTGAGGCAGTCCAGATTATATATGGCACAGATGTATTCTCATTGTTGTAAACCCAGTAAGCTGAAATGTTTTCTTTCTGTAAAACATGGTTCTTCCAAAAGAAATCACAGATATAAACATAAAGACAATATACTTTTGTTGCATGTCCTTCAGAAATAACTTTTTTTTTTAAAGATTTATTTATCCATGTATACAGGACTGGGGTACAGGCCAGAGGTGTAGGGGGTGAGAGGATTCACCAGAGCCAGAGTGTGGAGCAGAACAGGCAGAGGAACTGAAATACACTGCTGAGGGGACGAGCGGGCGAGAAGCAAAAGTCTGCCACACTGTGTGGGTCACCTCCATGCCCAGGGATTGAACTCATGCTGCATTGGCTGTGAATCACTTCTTAGTGCTGTGCTTTAACCCGTTGTGCCACCAGGGAGGGTCCCCAGCACTGTTTTTTAAAAAGATTTCCTTTTTCATGAATTTCTTGGCCTATTTGTCATAAATGTTGGTGTTTATTTCTTTGCTGTCATTTCTGTTCCCTTGGTCTACATATTTGTCCCTGTGTGTATCACTCTTGCCTCAAACTAATGTAGCTGTCTATTAAGTATTGAAACCAGAGAGTGATTTCTCCAACTTTGTTCATTATTTTCAAGATTGTTGTGGTTACTTTGGGTCCCTTGAATATTCACATGAATTTTAAGATGTTTGTCAGTTTTTACAAAAAAAAAAAAAAAGCTAGCTGGGAATTTTGATAGGAATTTCATTGAATCTGTAGGTCAATATGGAAAACATTGCCACCATAACAATATTTAAGTCTTCTAGCCCTTTAAGCCGGTTTTCAGTTTATTTCAGCTTTCTATAATTTTTTCAATGGTGTTTTATATTGTCTCTATTTTGTTACATATATTAAGTATTTTATTCTTTTTTGTGCTGTTGTTAGTGGAATTGTTCACTGTGTATTAATACATATTTAACTTTTGTATGCTGAACTGGCATCCTTCAACTTTGCTGAACTTGTTAGTCCTTGTTGGTTTTGTGTGTTTTCTTGGGATTTTCTATTTAGGAGAGCCTGCCATCTGTCACAAGTATAGACTTATATCTTCCTTTTACATCTGGATTACTTTAATTGCTTTCCTTATTACCCTGGTTAGTTGTAAGAGGAAAAAAGTATCTTTTTTTTTTTTTAAGATTTATTTTTATTGATTTATGCATACAAGAAATGGGATGTAGGCCAGATGTGCAAGGGGTGAGAGGATTCCCCAGAGACACTGGGGAGCATAACAGGTAGATCTACTGAGGGGAGAGGTCTGCTGTCCCATGTGGGCCAGCTTCCTAGCCAGGGATTGAGCTGATGCTGCAGTGGCTGGTGATAACTTGATAGCACTGAGATTGTAACTCCTTCATCAGGGAGGCCCCAAAAGTATTTCTTTTTTCACCATTTAGTTTGCTGGGTATCTGTTGTAGATACTTTCCTAATACAAAGTGGATTTTGTTGAACTACACGTAACATTTAAGAGTCCATTACATATTTTGTTGGTTTATATGACAAAATCTGTATTTGCCAAACACCATGTTGTAAAAAAAATTCAAAATGGAATTAAGAAATTCATGATTATGTTATTATGAAAGATGTTTATACTTAATACAAAATTTGAAAGAGGTGATGGGAGTAGGCAGGATTTACTATATTCAAAATTGATAAGATATAATTGCTGGAAATGAAGAAGAAATATTTTTATAGATGAGTGTAAATATAATCATGCCTAATTCTAAGAATCTGGATTGTTTCTCAAATTTGGGGTATTTATTTATTAGTATGGATCAGGTAGTATGGATAATAAGAAGCCACGTAATGAAAGTGGTATTTGTATGATTTTAGTTTTGCCCAGTAGTCTCTAATTAATTTGGGACTTTTAAAAAATATTCAGTGTTTTAACTTAAATATTCAGTATTTTACAGATTCACATACAGTAGTATGAAATAATATAGAAAGAGAACTTATACTCTGCCCAACTTACCCAAACAGTAACCTCTGGCAAAAAAAACACAAGTCACCACCGGGATATTAACATTAATGCAGTTAGAACACTTAATACTTACATCACAGGGATTGCTCATGTTGCTCCATAATAGTTATATCCACTTTTTTTAAAAGATTTATTTATATTTATTCATACAGAACTGGGGTACAGGCCAGAGATGCAGGGGCAGTGAGGGGATTCACCAGAGACAGAGTGGGGAGCAGAACAGGCAGATCTACAGAGTACACTGCTGAGGGGAGCAGTGGGTGGGTCAGGAGAGGTCTGCCACATCATGTGGTCACCTCCGGGGCAGGTGGGGATCGAACTCATGCTGAAGTGGCTTTAGCTTCTTAGTGCTGTGCTTTAACCCCGCTGCACCACCAGGGAAGGCCCTATACCCTTTTCTCAATAGTTACATCCACTTCTTTCTGCCTTTCTTAATCCCTAGCAACTAATAAACTGTCAAATCTCTTCATTTCTATAGCTTTTTTCATTTTAAGAATATCACATAAATGAAGTCATGGAGTACACAAATTTTTGGTATCAAAATTTGTTCACTCACATAATTCTCTGGAGAATATCCAGGTTGTTACAGCAATAGCTGCTTTTTTATTGCTATGTACTATTCCATAGTATGAGTGTATCACAGTTTGTTTAAATATTCATTTATTATTGTATGACATGCTGTTTTTTTCCCAGCTTTTGGCTATTACATATTCATGTGTCGGAGACCAGCTCCAACCTTTGGGGTGTCTCGAGGCAACACAGACAGGACCCTAAGATGGGAAGGCGTCGGAGAGCAGATATTCCAAAAAGGGGGAGAGGGGAACGGATGTGAGGAAGACACGGGAGTCAGGATAGGGTGCAAGTCTTCCCGCTTTTCCTTCAGCAGGTCTTTATTTATACTGTGTAGCAAGTAGTTAATTGTAATAATGCATAGGGTAAGTTAATGAGATATCTCCATAAAACATTCTCAAGGATAAAGGGAAAAAACATTCTTCTGTTTACAATTTATGGTATGCTAAGTTATACGTTTTTGTGACAGTTATCTATACAGCTGTCTACTTATCATTAAAGGAAGAGGGGTCTGGAAAAGGGTGAGCTTGTTAACAAAAGGTTGTTAGGGGTCTTGGGGTAGTAATAAATTGTGTTAGTAGTGTTATCAGTGATTGTCCAAAGAAAAGCTAGTGGCTAATTTAAGGCTAGCAGAGAGTAGTTAGTGCTTGTTTTAAAAAGGAGTAAATTAAGAGAAAGTTATATAGTTGTATATCAAACAACACCTGTGTAGTCAAGGTTAAAATTTATCCCTGAGTCCTTATGCCCTGGGAGCCTTATCTGAAGCTTATTTTTTATTCAAAGAAACCAAGGAAGCTTCCCAGGAGTTTTTTATGTCCTGGGGTCTTATTGCTCCTGGGGCTTGGCTTTTGTCTCAGGAGACAGGAATTTCTCACCCTGGGGCAGCTTGCCTGAACCAGCAGCCGCCTGTGTGGCTAAGACAAACCAGTTGTAAACTGAATGTTGCTCAGAATATTTTGATATTATGTTTATACAAAAAAGGGAGGTCATAACATAAGTTAGCAGTGGACAGTCTGATTTTTCAGAGCTTATCCCGATCCACCCGGAATCTGTCAGACGATGGACGTTGCATAGCTTGTGTCATTCATGTTTAGGGGTTTTCATGTCTTTCTCTGGGATAAATGCCCAGAAGTGCAATTACTGGGTGGTATGGTAATTGTATATTTAGTTTACTGAAAGACTAACACATCATTTCCCAGGGTTACTGTACCAGAGAATTTTAAGTGATCCTGTTAATTGCACAGCTTGACCATCCTGTAGTATAGTCACTTAAAAACAAACAGAAAAACATTATCTTGCCTCTCCCCCATGACAAAATGTAACACTAGAGATATGGGTATGTGCATGCTGAAGCATGTTGCCTGAAGAGCTCATGTTGGCCAGTAATTGGCAATACCCCAGACAAATAGGGTCCTGGTCTGTTCCCACAAACCTTTACCCCAGTCTTTATCTCAGGTAGGCACAGCTACATGCTCTCAGCTAGAGTATCTTGTCCAGGCTTCCTTTTTTTGACAATACTGCTTTTGTCAATCAATACAACTTTTGTCATCAAAGTCGGAGATATAACTCATTTAGGCAATCCAGTTGGTCATTGAAGCACTAAGTAGTCAATTTATACACCCCAATGAATCTTTCTGCTGGTAATAATATAATTACCTGCAGGTCTTGTTGCTTTATTTCATGGCGTTATAAGAGCTTTTTAGGAACCAGGATGTAAGTTTCTTCCTTGTTATATAAATGAAGGAGCTGAATCCAAGTAATCTCTCCTGCGGTCACGGTGGCTTTCGTGCCCCCTGCATTTCTGGCCCCTGACGCTAGGGGGCGGGGCTCCAACTTCCTATGACGGCGGTCTTGACTCTGATGTGCGGGTTTTGATTCAGGCAAAGATCCTTAGGCTGGGAATTTGGCCATGGGCTCCTCTGGGGCGCTTCCTGAAGCGGCCCCCCCCACCCCCGGGGTTCTTCCTGCTTCCTAAATATTGTTTATTTTGACCATCTTAATAGGTGTGTGTAATGAGATTTCTTTTTTTTTTTTTTAAGATTTATTTATGCATTTTAAACTGGGGTATCAGCCAGAGGTGCAGGGGTGGTGAGAAGATTCACGAGGCACAGAGTGGGGAGCAGAACAGGCAGACTGACGAGGTACACTGCTGAAGGTAGCAGCAGTGGGTGACCTCCGGGGTCACCTCCGGGGCTGGGGATTTAACTCGCACTGAAGTGGAGGCAGCTAGCTTGCAATGTTGCCTCCTCACCCGTTGTGCCACGAGGAAAGGCCTCTGATTTCATTGTGTTTTTAATTTGAATCTTTAATGGTTAATGCTGAACATCTTTCATACCCTTATTTCCTGTTTCTGTCCTATTTTACTAAAATGTCTTATGTTTTATGGTGATTTTTCTGATTGGATTTTTTTTAACTGTTCGTTTTAGAGTTCTTTATATATGTGTATATAGGCCTTTTACTGGATATGAAATTTGTAAGTATTTTTCTTCTAGCTTGTACTTATGAAAGGAAGGAAGTAACAAAGTATTTCATTATTGATGAGAGAGTATGAACATCTGATTTCCCCAGGTGGTCTCTACTGACTTCACAGAGGTAGCTCTGCAAGGAAGAAAATAAGTTCTGGGCTCCTGCTTGGCTATCTGCATACCACCTTGGCTTGAGTGTTGAGGATGTCTTATTAACAGTGGAAGCCTAGGTTCCTTATTTTACCCTAACTGGTGGGGGAAGGTGAGGTCACAGGTTTCTTATGTGGTTTGACTGGAATTGAGCAGTTACTATCTAAAAGTTTTCTGTCTGGCTGGACTTCACATTAACTTTTCTAAGGTAATGAGATAAGGTTTTTGTTTTGTTTTAAAGATTTATTTATGCATACAGAGCTAGGGTGCAAGCCAGAAGTGCAGGGGTGGTGAGGATTCACTAGAGGCAGAGTGGGGAACAGAACAGGCCAACCGATGAAGTACACTGCTGAGGGGAGTAATAGGAGGGTAAGGAGAGGTCTGCCACTCCATGTGGGTCAGCTCCGAAGTGGGAATCGAACTTATGCTGAAGTGGCTTTAGCTTCTTAGTGCTGTGTTTTAACCTGCTGCACCACCAGGGAGGGCCCGAGCAAGATAAGGTTTTGTTAGAACTCTGTCTTTGTTCCTGGATGGCTAGCTTCTTCAGTTCCAGGTGTGAGATGTATAAGGTAAAAAGAAAACCCAGGAATCTCACACCATGCTGTTTCTCAGGTCCCAAGGTCCTTAATCAGTCTGCCTGTTTTACATCAGAAAGTTTGTTTTATAAATAATGTTCATGATTTTTAGTTTTATTTAGTAGTTGGAACATGTAAAAGTACATCTATTGTATTACATGGGAAGTGGCAGCATAATTTAAAATACTTTTTAGGGCACCAAATGTGACTAGATCAAAAAGAATGCCAAGTTATGACTTTATATGTAAAACAAATCTCAAATGTATACTTATGTTAGCTTCCTGTACCCTAGGAAGAAGTATAGGAGAAGTTCTTTCTCCTATTCTTGGTTGTTAAGTAGTAGGGTATATGCTAAACCTAGTCATATGCTCACAATAGCTGCAGAAGGAACTGGAAGTGTCTCCAGTTGGGAACAGGAATCTCCATTACTAAAATAAAATAAAGGCAATAGTCTTTTCTTTCATTGCTTCAGCAAAAAATTTTAGGAGAAAATAACTTTAGTTGTGAACCATTTTATTCTGTGTAATAAATGTCTGTCCTTTAACTGACTTTTTCTTATTGTTGTCTTACTTGTTTTGTTGTTCAACATGACTTTCATGGTCAAATTGTAGCCTGGATATAAAACTGATTTTTAAAACATAACTATTTGTAATACTCTAAATAATTATTTGTTTTTATCTTTTAGGGTTTACAGAGTCCACAGGGAATAGGATGCAAACCTGAAGCTCTATGTAGTCACATTATAATTGAGAGCCATGAGAAAGGATGTTTCAGGACTCTAACTGCTGAACAACAACCACAACTGGATACACACCCTTGTATTTTCAGATCTGCTGAACCCTCAGAAATGATCAGAGGACAACGAAGCCCATCGTCATGGAGGAGCAGGCACATTAATCTTTGTAAATCACTAGACCATAGCAAGCCCCATTTCAAAGTTTGGAATTCCTTGCAGTTTCAAAGTCATTCCCCATTTGAAAACTTTACAGCTGATGATTTCAAAATTAGTGAGGGTCTTCAAATGCCTTTCCATGAAAAGATGGATCCTTGGCTGTCAGAATTAGTAGATCCTGCTTATATGCTTCCACCTGAAGAAATAGATTGTCATTTTCCATCACGTTGTTCATCACAATTGCCACCCCCAGAATCCATGAAAAAGTTTACGACCTCCATCACTTTTTCATCTCACCGGCACTCTAAATGCATTTCAGATTCCTCTGTTTTTAAGGTTGGTGTTACTGAAGGTAGCCAATGTACTGGAGCATCTGTGGGGGTATTTAATTCTCATTTCACTGAAGAGGAAAATCTTTCTAGAGATCTAAAACAGAAAACCTGTTCTCCTTCATCATTTAAAATTATTGGTCACTCACCAGATAAAGCTGTGACTATTTTAGCAGAAAGTAGTAGACAAAACCAAAAATCACCTGTTGAGCTTTCTCACCAAGAAGAAAAACCCTTAGAAAGGTCACATTTTAAAAGTAGTCATTTTGAGCCCAGTACTCATGCAAATTCTAGCAATTTTAAGGAAGTTCACTTTTCTGATGACCATACCTTCATTAGCATGGACAGGCCAAGTTCCACACAATCTGTAAAAGAGAAGAATGTAACTATAACTCCAGATTTTCCTTCGCAAATTTTCCTTGAACAGCGAGAGCTCTTCGAGCGGTACAAATTACCACTTACAGGTCATCATGTGGGAAAACATTCTCCCCCTCCTCAGCGTCAGGATTATGTGGCTCCAAACCTACCTTGTTGCATTTTTCTTGAAAAACGAGAACTCTCTGAACAAAGTAAAGCACCACATGTAGATCATCAGATGAAAGAAAATGAATTACCCTCCCCTCAAGGTCAGGATAGTGTTGCTTCAGACACTCCTTATTCCATTTTTCTTGAGCAACGTAAACTCTTTGAACAAAGCAAAGCCCCAAATAAAGATTACCACATAAGAAAACACCCTTCTCCCCTTCCTCAAGATAAGGATTGTATAGTAGAAAAGAAGAATCAACATAAATATAAATCACACATTAGTAATGTGATAAATATTGAACCCAACTCCAATAATGTGGTCTCCCAGTCAACCCCAAATCAGTATACATCAGTAACATCTGCATCTACTCCACCTTCAAATAGAAAAGCAATTTCTTGTGTTCGTATAACTTTTGGTCCCAAGACTCCTTCCAAGTTGGATAGTGGAACCTTAGATACGACATTTCATTCACTGGATCCTGCTGCTAAAACAAGGATGAATAGTGAGCTTAACTCTGACCCACAAACTATATCTTCAAGATCATTGGAACCGGCCTCCAAATTATTGACCAGTAAACCTATAGTGCGAGGTCAAGAATTTCTAGATTTTCTAGGACCAAAATCTTCACCGGATTTACAAGTTGTACAGTCTCCTCTTCCAGAGAGTAATACTCAGGACTTGAAAATTACACCTTTTCAAAATAGTCAGTCAGTAACTTCAAGGCAAACACAAGTGAACATTTCAGATTTGGAAGGATATTCCAATCCAGAAGGTACTCCAGTATCTGCAGATAGGTGAGTCTCGTTGTGATATCAAGCACGCTGATGGAATTTTTGATAAAGGATCTAAATGCTCCCACAAATAGAAGTTCTTGGGAAAGGGCAGTAGTTTTTTTTCTTCAGGGAAGTTGTAGCTAACTAATTATGGGGTAAATATTTAAGAGAGAACATGTTTGAAAGTGGTATGTTCTTTCAAAGAAGCTTTTGACAAGACTTGACCACAATATTTTTAAATATGAGAAGAATCTTTAATCTCCCAATGGTACAATTTACTAATTCCTTATTTACAGTGTTGGACATATCTGTGCTGAAGACCAGGCTTTGAGAGGGATGCATGCATGTATTTGCCCTTGTTTTCTGTCATTCTCACTCTGTCTTGCCCTTGCCTTCTCCCCACACTCTATAATTTCTTCAACAATAAAAACATTACTTGCTAGTAGAGAATCCCAGCAGACATCTCTTTAGCCAGTTTATCAAGATGAACATTGCCAGTAATGTATATCAACATTATTGCCATACTCTGATGTGCTGTTCCATTGCACAGCATATTGTAGCAAAGGAAATCCAGTTCAGGCATAAATGTGTTAGCTTTTTACTGTTACATCTAATTTCAAGATTTTTTTTTTCAGTTTGATTTGATATTAACAAGTCTCTTACAATATGGCTAAACATGATTACCCTGTGTATTTAATGTTTCTACTTTAATGTTTGTACCTCTTCCCAGTAGAGAACACTGGGCTTGGAAAGGAGGAAGGGAAAAATGTTTATTCAGCGTGCACATGTGGTAGTCATGATGTGAGGCACTTTCCTATGTTATGTCATTTAATATTCATGTTAACACCACAAGGTAAGTGGGTGGTTGTCGGAGACTCTTTGTCCCCAATCACGGATTACTGGGGGGCAGAACAGGCAGGGTCTCAAGGTGGAAATGGCGTCGGTGAGCGGAGATTTCCTAGAAAAAGGGGAAAAAGGGAAAAAAGGGGAGCAGGCATGAGGAAGACACGGGAATGGGAGTTGGGTGCAAGTCTTCCTGCTCTGCTTTTAGCAGAGGTTTATTTTATACACTTCAAGTAGGCTGAGGGATGACATTAGCATATGAAATGGGCTGAGATCACAATCACCTTTTTGCTAAGAATAGTCTGGGGTCGTTTTGACCTTTAGTTGAGATTATAATATTTTTAAAATCAATCTATCAGGGTTAAAACAGGTACATAGATTCACAAAGTTTAAGACTAATATTACTGTATCTACAACAGTGAAGATTGACCAAAATAAAGTCCCTTAAACATAAATCTATTACTTAAGGGCTTTCATTCTCATAGAGACATCCTAGGGGGGTGAAGTAAAGTGAGGGCAGGAAGAGGAAATCAAAGTAAGGTAAGGTTCTTTGAAAAACTTGTTAGTAAGTTTAAATGAGTTTTCTTGAAGTCTAGATGGTAGAAAACCTGATTAGTTCTGTATAATAGGTGACTTGGGTGAATTTCCTTATCTAAAGACTAGATAGTAGAAAGCTTGAGTGGTTATTTAGAAACTGAAAAGAAGGCTATGTGAGATAGAGTGTTAAGATTGGGTTTTCTTCAGTCTGGCAGTGAGAAAGACTTTGCTGTAACAGCCATTTGTTTTTATTAATCAGCTAGTTATTTAATGACTTTTGACTTCAAGAGGAATTTCTTACCCTGATGCAGTGCTTGCTTGTCAGGGCCAGGTAGTGCCTTCTGAGGCTGAGGCAATCCAATTGTAAACTGAAGGTTGCTCAGAATATTTTGATATTACGATTATACAAAAAAGGGAGGTCATAACATAAGTTAGCGTGGAAAGTGATTTTTCAGATGGAAAGTGATTTTTCAGAGCATTTCCCCTCCATCGCTACCGTGTCTGTAGACAGAGGTTGCATAGCTTGTGTCAGGTGGTAACCTTTCATACCCTCTGGAAAAGTGAAACACTGATAGTGCTTCTTGTATAATCAGCACAATGGACATTCAAATGTAGTCTGTTGAATCAAACAAGAGTTTGTTCAACATGTACAATTATAGCCTCAAATCTTGAAGTTTGCTTCTAACTCCTCTGTGAACTATTACCTTAGACAAAGCTATTTTTTAATCTTTGACATTCACATGTGAGATGATGTGGAAAGGTAGAAGAAAACAGTTGGAATGCTTAAATGTTCTGTGTAGCTTTAAAATTTAGTTGAGAATTGCATTGGGGGAAAAAAACCACAAGATCAATCTGGTTTTAGTGTGACCAATAAGAGGGTGTTATAGAAATCAGTATTGGTACATTTTTCTAATATTAGAATTTTTTTAATGTTAGAATTGACAAATTTATATGCAGTGCTTAATTTTCCATTTATAAAATGCCAAGTTTTAGAGCTGAATTCCTTGAATGAGAAGAAAATAAATATGAATAATGATAACTGCCCTTTGTTCTGAATACATACCAGCCACTGTGGTAGATGCCTACTTCACTTTATACTTAGTATACTTATTAGAGTTACAGATACATAAAACCTAAGATTTGAAGAAATTAAAACATTTTGCTCCAACTCACATGGCCACTCAGTGTTGTATTTTTAAAAAGTACAAGATACAATAATGCAACTAATGCAAAATGGGCATTAGTTCTTCAGAGGTTTAATGAAATTCATTTGTAACCTACCTAGAAACTTGGGCTTTTGTTTTTTAGAAGCCTTTATTGCCCTTTTACTTTCCATGCTTGTGATTTGATATTTCAAGGAAGAAACAGATGATTTGAAAAACCATATCATAAGCATGAGAAGTCCCTAAATAGGAATGATTGAGTTGGCACTCTTTATTTTATACCTAATCTTACAGTGAGTATTCTCCACATTTCACTATAAATATGATGGTTTTTCCTTTGTTATCCCTTTATTTTTAATCATACATAATTACTGAATTTTATCAAATGCATGTTCTGATTATATGAATATGATTATATGCTTTTTTCCTCCCTTTATGTAGTGAATAAATTTTGCTTGATTTTTCATTGATTTTTGAGTGCTCACCTTTGCTCCTGGACTAAATGACCTTGGTAGATATTCACACAAGCATTAATGTATGTATTTGTTATAAAGAAAGGTAGCCCACAGAATATACTGTGTGCATGTAACATTTGGTGTCCAATATTTTGTTTAGGGTTTTTCTCCTAAATTTGTAAGAGAAAATGGTCTGTTTTCTTTCTCGTAATTGTCATTTTCAGTTAGTGAATAGTATGTAAGGTATAATCCAAAAGTTCTTCTGTTTTTGTGATATAAACATTACAAATCCATGTTTCTCCATTTTTTAAAAAAGATAACTTATTTCTTGAACAATTTTAGATTTACAGAAAAGATGCAAACAGTATACTACTCTCCCAGTTTTTCCTACTTTTTACACTTTACATTACCATGGTACTTTTATCAAAAATTGAGAAACCCATTTGACATTACTGTTAGCTATTGTGTGAATTTCACCAGTTTTTTCATTGATGACCTTTTTGTTTCAGGGTCCAATGTATCACATTCTTTTCAATTAGTTATCATATCTGGTAGCTATTGGTCCTCTCTGGATTAGATAGTTCTTCATTCCTTCCTTGTTTTTCATGATTTTAGCAATGTTGAGAAGTACCGGTTTGATATTTTTTAGAATATTCCTCAGTGTTGGTTTGGCTGATATTTTTTTCATGATTAGACAGGAGTTGTGGATTTTAGCAAAGAATATCACAGGAGCAAACTATCTTTTCACATCATAGCAGAGACTATACATGGTACCACTCTTGAGGTGAACTATCATCACTGGAGTTGTGATGTTTGTGTTTGCCAGGTTTCTTTTTCCATTATTAAGTTACTACTCCTTTTTCACTCTTCTGTTTGGAATCCAGCCCCTAAGTGCTGCCCATTTTCAAGTGGGGAGAGAGAATTTAAACTTTATATCCTAAGGTTATAAAATACACACTTATCATTTGGAAGTATTTGTCTCCCCTACCTATTATTTATCATTTATTCCATTCTGTTTTAATATGTAATTGCAACCTAAAAAAAAACCTGTTTCCCCCACCCTGAAACAAATTCCTTTAAAGAAAATGTTGGGTTTTGTTTATTTTTGTACATGCTTACTTATAGTGAACTTCTAGCAATTTTTAAAAACGGAATGTACATATTTTCACTGACGAATACCTTTTCCTTAGCTAAATTATATAATAGTTTCTATATTGAAATTAAAAGCTTCTAAAATAAATAAAAGTAAGCTCATGCATAATCACAAGTAGAAAGTATATAAGAAAGTTAAGAGTATTACAAAAATAACTTTTTGAGATTGATGTGTCTCCATAAAACATTCCTTGAAATTATTTAAATATTCCTTGAAATTTTGGAAAATGACTCTTATACTTGATAAGTCAAGGATATGACCTGCTATGTCCTTTTGTCTATTTTGTTCAGACCTTCAGAAGAGATTAAGACACCATTTTCAGCCTTTTCTGGAAAATTATCATCTGATGCAGTCACTCAGATAACAACAGAAAGTCCAGATAAAACTTTGCTTTCATCTGAGATTTTTATTACTGATCAAGATCTTACACAGGCAATTCCAGAACCCAAAACCCAAAAGATCCTCAGCAAAGTTCCCATAAAACTTGCTTCCTCATCATCAATCCAACAGATTACTGTTTCTCGTGGCACAGATGGTAAGAGAATATCATTACATTTTAGGGTGGATTACCAACTTGTTGGTGTAATTATCTTTGAAAATTGTTATTTGGATCTTCCTTGTCAGAATTCTAATTTTAAGTATTAAGATCCTTGTGATTACACACATTACTTACATAATTGAAGAGAATATGACTTACTATGTTTTAATCTTCTAGTGGAGTTAACACCATATATGGAGCTCATTCTGCTTCGCATTGGCGTATTTTCATGTCATGATACTTGTAATAAGAATGCAAATCATAAAAACTTACAAATGACTGAGGTTCAATTTTAGGTGGGTAGGTAAACTATTGGCATTTTGTATTATAGTAATTACAACTAACTAGCAAGATAACATAGTGCAAAAACAATACAGTTTATTTATTATTTATAACAATAACCAAGGACCCAGGTTGACTGTGACCTGTTGTTCTTAAAACATGATACTCATGATGACCTTACCTGTGTTTATCAGCACAGTCAACTGATAGGGACAAAAAGCTTGGAGAAGTATATGCGGGAGATTTTAATGGACTAGACCTGGAAGTATATCAGTCACAGATTAGAAATAGTTTACTTATGTTTTCCAGGATTAGAAGAAATGGATTTTGATAACAGCTGTAAGTCTCTACTATAATTATATTAGAATGTTTGTATGCTATAAAGACAATGACATTTCAATAGTGCTTGTGTAAAATTGAGAGTTAGATTATTATTTTCTTTTTCAGACCAAATAACAGCAAAGTTGATGATTAAGTTTCCATTTTTTGCCAAATGAAGGTGGAAACTTTAAATTGCTACTTAATGCCTTATATAAATTTCTTCAAAATATATTAAAGATTTTCCTACGTATACAAAAACCTTTTATCTGTAGATACAGATGGGATATGCCTAAATGATAAAGAAAATTGTGTGGTTTGGCATTTAAATTGCATTAAATTTAAGTTGAATAAGTATATATATTAATATGGTTATATTTCTTATACACCTTTATTGTGAAATAACAGTATACCCCAAAAATGTAGTTTGATATCACAAGGAACGCTTTTGTCAGTTATGTATTACTACAGTGGTATCATATAACAAATAGCCTAAAAAAAAATCTCAGTACTTAATAACAGGAAATACTTGCTATTCTTACTAACGAGCTTGTGGGTCAATTAGAGTTTGGCTAAGCTTGTTCCATTGTAGAAATGGTTTGGATTTATTCCACATGATGCAATCTAAGGCCCAGATTGATGGGCCCGGGATATGGTGGTGTTCTGGCAGAGACACAAGAAGGGAAACATACCTGTGAAGGTGTATCTGAAATCTCTACTCACATCAAATGGATCTATCTAAAAAGGCCATAATTTATGTTAGTAAAGGTTTTACCTTTACATATAAGTCCCTGAGAAAAAGGACTCCTTTTAAAGGATTATTTGCTTAATAATACTGCGGATTCAAAAGTACAATTTTTTTTTATGAAAACATTCTAAAATACAAAGAATGGTATGTTAAACATATGACTATGTACCTACTACTCTGAATTAAGATTCAGAGTAATGTTATATGCTTATATATTTAATTTGAAGAAAATATTTGTATTAGTATCTTTAATATTTTCCCCTACCTCCATCTTTTGTATTCCCTTATTTTTTCCTCTCCCCACCTTTACCTTCAGAGCCCTCAGGATGTTTATTGAAAATGTTTTAGTGAATTTTCTGCTATGTAAATGTCCAGTGTTTGTTTTTATCTTTCTGACTTACTTTGCTGTACAAAATTCTTTCAAATTCCCTTCATTTTCTTAAAAATAGGTGCATTTCATTCTTTCTTGTGGTTGTATAAAACTTCCTGTTATATACATACCACATCTTGATTCCATCTTCTGTCAATGGGCTGTTCCGTGTCTTAAGCTATTGTAAATAATGCTGTTTTGAATAATGTGGAATATTTAGGTTGTTTGTTGATGATTTCAAATTCTGTGGGCATATGCCCAAGAATGGGATTGCCCATCAATATGTTTTGCCATTTTTAGTTTTTTAAGATAAATACAGATTGCTTTCTATAATGTTTACATGAATTCACATTTCTAGCAGTGTAATGGGGTTCCTTTTTCTCTTCATTTTTTCCAATACTTGTGTGTGTGGGGGGGGTCTTTCTAATGTGTGCCTTTCTCATGGGTATGAGATGGTCTTTAATTACAGGCTTCATCTGCCTCTCATTGGAAGTGATAATGAACATATCTTGGATATTAATCCCGTCTTAGTTACATATTGCAATATTTTGGAGAAGTAAATTTTTACTATTGACCTTTCTTCTTTACCACCCCTCTCCTGTATTTACAGTCTTTTACAGAAGTAACCACTGTTTATTGTCTAGTTGCTTCTTACCCCAAAGGCAGGTTGACCAAAATAACTTTTAAGATTATTGTATCCAGGGCCTTCCCTGTGGCGCAGCTGGTTAAAGCACAGCACTATGAAGTTATTGCAGCCACTGCAGCACAAGTTCAACCCCAGCCAGGGAGCTGACCCACCTGCTGCTCCCTTCAGCAGTGTATTTCAGTACATCTGCCTATTCTGCTCCCCAGTCTGTCTCTGGTGAATCCTCTCACCCCCTATACCTTTGACCTGTACCCCACTTCTGTCTGTATAAATAAATAAATATTTATTTATATTTGAAAAAAAATTATTGAAAAAAAATTATTGCATCCAAATATAAAGTTATTGGTAATTCAAAAAGTTAATGATTGTCTCAGAATTCTCCATCTCTACCTGATAGCCATACTTCTCTAGGTCCCTTGTTATTCTGCACAGTTGTTCATTTTCTGCAACTTTTGAACTAGATGGTAAATTTTACCATTACTGTCAAGCTTTTTATACATAGAGGAAGAAAACTTATTCATCAATATTCTAGCAATAATGACTACAGAAGTGGAGATGGTGACACTCTTTTCTGTTGTTTAAATTATTCTCTCCTCCATACATTTTTTGTTGTTGTTCATTTTTTCATAACAGTTTATTTTTACATCATTTTGTACATTTTTTTTTAATCTCAATTGTAATCCCCATGGTGTTGTTCTTAACAAACCAACTTCTCACTGGCTTAGACCCACTAGTAGGGATTAACAGTTACCAAGTTTGGGTTCAATAAGATACTATGCTTTTATTTTTAGAGTAGTCTATGCGGACTAGATTGCTAAAAATTCCTCAGTGAAACCTACCCAAACCACCCTATTTAAACTTCATTCTGTTTCAATTTTCCCAATACTCATAATTTCCCTCAGCATCTTTACATTTTCTTTCATATCCCTTATGATCTATTAAAATACTAGATAATTAATATTTTCCTTCCCAAGAGTGTTACAATATTTTTTTCTTAAAGGTATAGGTACTTTTCTGTTTAGTTTATTGATGTATTCTAAGAATTTTGAGCACTGCCTGGTACATTGGAAGTACTCCATGTTTGTTTAATGAATTAATAAGTGTTTTCTTATCAATTGTTCTGATCTTTATTTCCTTAGCCCAGCCTTCATTGTTGCCATATAAACCTTCTGGGGAGATGAAGATGTACTATGTTCCACAATTAAAACAAATTCCTTCATCTATGGATTCCAAATCAGACACCACTATTGAAAGCTCACACTCAGGTATCATGCAGAAATTATTTTTAAAATTTTCCTTTTTCAATTTTACTTGTGCATTGTCTGGTTAATTCTGGAATGACATTGGAAAGCTCAGTCTATTTTATCTTGCAGTGCAATATGGAGTTTCATGCTTCAGTCTCTGGTTTACTATAAGTAATTAAGAGATCTGAAAGTAAGAGACCAAGTAACTATATGAGTCATTTGGTCAGAAGTATTATGTATATTTAGGCATCTACTAAATATTTGAAAAAGAAAATTCTATTAGACAATTATTGTTTGTTTGGGTTAATAGATTCCATTTAAGACAAATGTTTATAGATTTTCTCTTCACAATGCCTTTAGTGTTGCAGTGATTTTACCCCTTCATTACTATGTGGAATGCAAATACACGAGTTATTGGGGCCTTCCTGCTGGGGCAGGTGGTTAAGTCACAGTGCTGTGAAGCTGTCCACAGCCACTGCAGCATGAGCTCGATCCTTGGACAGGGTATAACCCACATGGTGCAGCAGGCTACTCATGTCTGACCTTCTGCTCCCCTCAGCAGTGGATTTCAGTAGATCTGCCTATTCTTCTCCCCACTCAGTCTCTGGTAAATACTCTCAGCCCTTGCACTTACAGCCTGTAACCCATCTCTTGCATGCATGCATAAATAAAATCAGTCTTTTAAAAATATGTGTGTGTGTGTGTGTGTGTACGTACATGTACATACAGATTATTGTGACAAATACTTGTTTTGAGCTAACAACTTAATAAATGAAAACAATAGGTCTTTTGGGTTTTGATTTTTCAAAATCTTTGTTCACAAATAACCACTTATTACTTGAACTTAGATATGCAAAATTCAAACACTATAGTTTCTCCAACCTTAAGATGAAATTGGATACAGTCACTCTCATTTCCCACTCCTACAGAGAAACTGTCAAAAATCCAGCTTTGCAAAGAAAAAACAGCATTGGAAAGAGTGTAGCACTATCTTTGAAACTTTAAATTACCTTGAGCCTAGTTAGTAGTTTTTATACAGGGTATACCAGTTATCAGTTATCACAGTTGTTTCCCTAGAATTTTTTAATATCCCATAATACTCTTGTGAGATTACCGTAGGGAAATTGTGGATTTAAAAAACAAATAGCACCCTCTGGAGGAAATCATTAAATGTTTCCTGTGGGGCTTTAAGAATACTGAGTTGTTGATGACAGCATTTTTGAGTTGAGACAATGCCATGGTTCAGTTTAGAGACATCGTTCCCCCCTTTTTTTGATTTGTCAATAGATACTTTTGTTTGTGTAGAAATTGCACAGAAAGAAGTTTCGTCTTACGCAAAATTTTTTTGTTAATTTTAGGAGGACCAAGCTAGTATCTAGTGGTAACTGAGTTAAAGCCCCTGGTACAACTGCTTCTAATTTACTATTGAAAAATAACCACAAAAAATGCTGATAAACCAAGTACAAGGATTCCTTGTTAAGCTTGTAGTGAGAAACTAGGAAGACATTTTTATTACCTACAAGGATATGATTTTCAAAATGTGCTTATTGGCTACCAGAAATAAAGCATACTTATTTAATCCTTTGGAAAGGATTTGGAAAATCTTTGACCCCTCTCTTACTTTCAAGATTTCTTAATTCTGAAGACAGAATGTATCAGTAGAAATGTGATCTGTCTTAAGTGTCTTGGTCACCCTATTGGCTTAAGGTGGTGTATTTTATTCTGAGAAGTATTTTCTCTATAAATAATGTACCAACTACATCAATAAAAGAAGAAATAGAGTAGTTATGTGTATATGAAATTGTAGTTATTCACATCCTCCATCTATTGATACTCTTGAGAGTGAGGGAGCAGTCCATTTTTAGCCCATATAGCAAAGGGCATCTTCTTCAGTTTCCACCAGAAAACATATTTAGAACTAATCATCCTGAATGCTGGAATCTGAAGCTCAGAAATTCCTGGAAGAGATACATGTTTATTGGCTCATTAGCATTTGCCAGTTCCAAACATTGGTAATTGATCTAGTTTACCCAAGAAAAGAGAATCCAGTTCAGTCTATCCCCTTGTATAACTCTAGCTAAAAGAAAGGATATTAAACATTTACTGGAAAGTAGTAAGCAAATAAGAGAAATATATGCCACAGAAACTGTGAAGAGTCCAATATAATATGCATATTTGATCCAAAGGCTTAGTAGAATCCTTACAGTCTGTCCAGGAAAACCCTTAATGATTTCTATTTACATTGTACTGATAAGGCTGATATTTAATCCATCTCTTGACTGCCATACGTATTTTTAGGTATTTAGAAAATACATTAAGTACAGAATTCTGGAATAGAAGAAGAAAAAACATTTTTATTTTAGAAGATAATTCTATAGTTATGACAAACTCATACGTCCAGAGATGTTCTTTTGCCTCTTGTAAGTGGAGTGGACAAACAACTATCTAGTGTCTGTAGCAAACTGGTGTCTGTAGTAATATTAAAGTGTATTTTTAAAGAAAACTTCTTCATCACATCACTAATAATTCTTTGTTTTATCACTTTTTGTTGTTTCCACCTTTGAATATCATCGAATTGATCTTCCTAAAATACAGCTGATTAGTTTTCCCTTTATAAAAAATCTTTAATGATCTTGACTTCATATATAATAAAATTTATACTCTTTAACTTGGAATTGCATTCCCTGCTAAATTTTGTCTCCGACAATTACTTAGCACTATCTCTTACTACTCTCTTGAATATCTTCTATAATCTAGCCTGACTATGGCAGTGTCTGTTCTTATACATACTTTGCTTTCCTGCCTCTTTTACGTTGAGGTAACCCTGGACTACAGTCTGTTTCTTCCTGTCTGTAATTTCTAAGGGGACAGACTGTTTTCTCCTTCCTCTGATAGCCTTCCTGAGTTAGAAGTTTATCTTCCTCATATCATCATTTGTCATGTTTGTCCATTTTGTATTATTGCAGTTTATTGTACACATAACAGTTTCAGTCTTCAATTTCACATGTGTATTTATGCTAAGTGTACCAATTCCCCATTTTTCTGTAGGGTCCAATGATGCCATTGCTCCAGATTTTCCTGCTCAGGTGCTAGGCACACGGGATGATGACCTGGCAGTCACTGTTAACATTAAACATAAAGAGGGGATCTACAGTAAGCGGCCAGTGGCCAAGGCATCCTCATCAGTGGGGCAAAAACCCTTTCAGAAAGATAATGCAGGTAAATTGTTTTGACTATGTGTATTTTGTGACTACACTGTTTATCCTAAATGAGAACATTGTCCAGTCTATATCTTTTTTTTCTGCTTTGTTATATAGGCTTTTCTCTCACTTTTTTTTCCCTCTCACTTAATTGTATTAGTTATATATGAAGTTAAAATATTTATAAAATATTTTAAGTTGTACCACAAAATTTAAAAAACTGTAAATTGTTTCTACTATGTTTTGGAGATTAAGGTCCATAGAAAATCTTGATTAATTGCTTTATGAATTTATCTGTCATGCTGCAAGTTAATACTTTATAGATTCTGTAAGAAAACATATAACTTAGTGGTATCTGGTTTATTTACTAATTTATTTACTTATTTTTGCTGTCAGCATTTAAAAATAAGACTTTAGGCTCCCATGGCAAAAACCGATCGCACTCAGTTTGCATTTATTCCTCCATGACATAGTCAACTGCCCTTAAAGTGCAGTTGTCCTTCATAGGGAAGGCATACATTCTTCTGTTTATTTCAGTTACTGAAATTCTCAACCCATATTTGTTCATTCATCTGCTTTATCTCTGATCATTATGGATATTTACATTTTAACTATATCTTCATTAATGATCCCCCATTTTTTAGAAAAACTTTTATTATTTTGTTATTCACTTGATATTTTCCTTTGCATTGCTGACATTTTATGGCCTTAATTGATATATGATCATATTTATTAGGTAAAAATTCCATAGAAAATCCCACATGTGTAATTACCTGGTGTTTGATTTTGTTGCATTTATTGTTTTTCATTTTTGTGCATAGATATTAGTCAAATAGGTACTACCAATCCCAGGATAATTTTCAAACAATGTTACCTCTGTGTTCCAGTTTTTGCATAATGTCACTTATTTCATGTGATGATAGTAAAACCTTTATGAGGAAAATGAATGAGAGACTACTAACACAAGTATTTTTTCTTCTAGATAATTTTTTGTTGCACTCAAAAGCATTTTGAAATCTGCTTGTAAATGAATTTTGAATGAGCAAAAAGAAGCACATTTACCAGCTAATGCTAAGGTTGCCAAGTAAATAAGAAGGAAATTTATTTACAAAATGTAGTTCCTAAAGGAAAATTCCCATGTCCTAGGGAATCCCTTACCAGCTTGTTACTTGCTATATACTAGTAGCAATTTGATGACATAGATGAACTTATGAACCTTCTGTCAGACACTTGAGAAGGAAGTGAATATGGAAAAATGGGAAGGGAACAAACTGATAGACTAAGGTAACTTCAATAGAAGTCAGAACGAAGAATTCACCAAATAACTCATCCCCAGGCTTCATTTGGTATGGATGGTACCTTTGAAAAAATCAGACTCTGTTAACTGCCGCAGTTTTATATAACTTCCTGCCTGTTATGGAGGTTTACTGTTAACTGTTACTGTTAACTTCCAAATCCAACGAAAGAGCTTCCTCTTGGCTTATTTTATGACTATGCAGTAATTTCACTGTGGAAGCATTAAGAATAGAGGGGACAATGCCTGTTTGGGGCTACATATTGGAGAACCCTTAAAGTATACCAGAAATAAAAATATCAGTCAAGGATTAGAATGTAAAAATGAGAGAAACTCAGAAAATAAAACATGAGAATAGAGGAAAAATTGGTCCAAAAGGTTCAACACCAAAAAAAAAATGTTGTATCAAGACAACAAAAATCGTAAAAATTAAGGAATCCAAAGGATTAGTATGGATATATCCCAAAATTGAAGGATATGACTTTTCATGTTACAGGGAACTCTCACATATGTAAAAGGTCCATACTAAGTCACATGAACTTGAATTTCAAAACCTTGGAACAAAAGATGCCAAAAGCTCCCAGATAAGATACATAAGTAACATACAAACAAATGAAAATCAGTCTGACATCAGATTTTTCAAAAGCAATCAGTTGAGCTAGAAACCAAAAGAGTAATGCTTTAAATTTTTGAGGGGAAATTACTTCACTAAAACAAAGGTGTAGGTTTAATTATTTTTTTAAAGGAAGACATAGGATAGAAGAAATGACTAACAGGAGAAGAAGGGAAAGGAATTTCCATTGTGGCACTGGTACAGAAGATCTAGAAGTTCAGATTGAGAACTGTAAGAAAAAAGTCAGATCGTTAAACTATCACATATAGTTGACTATATTTAAAAGAGATTTTCAGTTCTACTTATAAGGATGAAGTAGAGACTATATTTAGAAACTTAACAAGTGTAAAAACAAGGCCATCATGAACTCTTCAGGAAATATGGAAACTTATAAAAGAAATACATGTGATTGTAGTATATAATTGCCTTAAAGTGTAAATAATAAATAACTTATTAAATACTGAACTCTTACCTGCATATGGATTTAATCACTATGGCTGCTATTTACATAATAATATAAACATTGGGGCCCTCCCTAGCGGTGCAGCTGGCTAAAGCACAGCACTATGAAGCTATCACAGCTACTGCAGCACAAGTTCAATCCCTGGCAAGGGAGGCAAACCACATGGCGTAGCAGACCTCTCCTGACCTGTCCACTACTCCCCTCAGTAGTGTATTTCAGTGGATCTTCCTGTTCTGCTCACCACTCTCTCTCTCTGTGAATTCTCTCAACCCCCACACCTTTTACCTATACCCTACTTCTGTATGTATAATAAATAAACCTTTTTTAAAAAAGAGTATAAACACTGAACATTAATAGCTAAAACTATGCAGAAGATAGGATGAGAGGATTTGTTTTTGATAGGTTTTGTAAAAATATTTATCAGAAGGAAATCAGATTTTTTCCTGGAACTAAAAAGAATATAGCAGTATAATAAAATATAATATAAATATATAAGTATAGCAGTATTATACTAGCTGATTCTAGAAGAAATTAGTTTATTCCATTAACACTAGAATAAGTGGCTAAATGAGTTGGTAACCTTTAGAAAATAGGGAGTTGGGATGATATATGTAAGGGAACTAACTAATGGCCTTTGTAATAACTCTCATGAAATTATTTAACTTTCAAAAAGTTTTACCTAGTGTGTGACACTTTGGTTAAATTATAATTTATTTGTCCTTCCCTCTAAAAAGTAAAAATTTTAAAAGTTATATACTTCACAAATACTAATGAATTGTTATAATGAAATGAATAATGAAATAAATGCTAGTGAGCAATGCAGTATTGACAAAATATAAATTCCAGACAAAGAAAATAGAAAAATTAATCAAGCTTAAGATGATATAACTTCAGAAGATTTTTAAAATTAAATGATTGCCATATATATAATCTAGATATGATATAGGTGCATCTCTAGGATTGTATGAAGTAACAAAAGTGGATTCATAGTCACAAATACTTCAGTGCCAAAGAACCTGAAAGAGTTTAAATTTACCTTTTTACTTTGAAAAAGATATTTGTGAGCTTTTTTAAAAACCTGCATAATACCATCAAAAACCAGATATTATTTAAAGTGGTATTTTATCCAAACTACTGTCATACAAAAACAATATGCAAAACTTCCAATTTGTGTTATAAGTCCATCATAACTGTCACAGCTTTTATATAGTGGGATCTAAGAGGAATTTATTTCATAATATATAAAGATGCTTGGGGAATGGGAAGGGGTTTCTTCATTGTGTTTGTTATCTTTTCCTTCTCTATGAGAGCAAATCATGTCATTATTACAGATGCTCAAGTTCAGGTTACCACCACTAAGGATGAGAGACTCTTAGACAAAAACCAGAAAGAGGAAATTCACAGTAAGTGGGGAGTGACTGTGGACGCACAATCTGAAGAGAAAGAATCCTTGCAGAAAGACACTACAGGTAACTAAGCTAGGTTATCTATTGCTATTTTCTTGTAGCCATCTAATTAGTATAAACAGGAAAGTATCCTCTTACTCTCTAAACCATCTGTCTTGTTCATATTTAAAATGGTAGATTAGCTGCATTTTTGTGTATATATTGTCATGTAAAATTACCATCTTTAAAGCCCTATCATGTATTTCTGGAGAATTTAGTGAATGTAATACACAAAATAATGTTATTGTCAGAAATTCACATTATAAACTTAAGAAAACCACTGATAAAAAGATCTGTGTATTAAGATGCTGACTCTAATGTCATTGTTATACATATAAACTTTTGCTCATTAGAAATTCAGCTTCTTTCCTAATTACCCATCCATTTACATCAGTAGAACTATTCTAATTAATGTTTCTAATGGATTTAAATTTGGCTTAGTTTTGGCTCTAAGAGATATAAACAAAAATGATATAGCATTGTCTTTAAAAACAAGAATTTGTTTCTCTTCCTTGTATAAATACAGAGGTAGGCATCCAGTGTTGTTATGGTATTACAGAGTATCAAGAAACAAAACTCATTCTCTCCTAGTATCACATTTTCAGCCTCCATTCTCATGCTGTAATCTCAGGTCTATATGCTAACCAGTAAAAAGGAAGAAGGGGAAAGAATCATATCCATTCCTTTAAGTAATTCTTGGCAGTCTTATGTACCATTCTCCTTCCATTCAATTGGGCAAACTTAATGGTCACTCCTGTCTACATTTCTGGGGAGGTTAGGAAATACAATCTTTATTCTGGTAACCATTATACTTTGTTAAGTCATTGTGTTTTAGAAGAAAAGGGAAATTGCTTTCCAGTGATGCTGCTGCTACAGGTAGTGGGTAATCTCTCCCACATTTATAAATGGAAGCATTCTGAAGCATAATTAGAGACTTATCTTTGTTTTCATAAGGCATATTGTAACTTGGACAGCACTTCAAAATTTTACCCTTACTTTTTGCTGTTTCTCAATATTCCAGGAACGGTTGGAATCGTATTAGTCTTCTACTCAGAATGTTTTCATTTTAAAATAAGATCTAAACTTTTTAGCATAGTCTTTCAAAACAGAATTGACCCTGAAACTTTTATAATTCTACTTTTTACTTTTATTCCTTACAGATTCTATAATCAAATAAACCATATGCTCACTTTATTTCATAGATGTGCATTGCTTTTCTGAGTCCAGCCTTATTTTTTATGTAGTGACCTTTGCTAAAATGTCTCTTTCCATCTCAGGATGTAACCCACCTTAGATACCTTTAAATACTTGTATCAGCTGTACTTATTCCAGAGTTCTCCATTGATTCTCCTAACTGGAAGTACTTTCTCTTGCTCTGAGTACTTAAACTTTTTATTTCTCTTTCTTTTCATTGTTTTACCTTTCATGAGATATGTTTTTAAACTGCAGTTTAAGATCTCCAATTTCTGAACATTTCTGATTGATCTTTTTATTTTAACATCTGACAATGCCTTACGCCTAGTAGATGCTTAAAAGGTAGTTTAAATATTTTTGTCAACTTCCTTTCTGGATACTGTGTTAATTTCCCTTTTTTAGGTTCCAGTGATGCTGCTGCTACAGGGAGCTTAGCTCAACTACCAGACACAAAAACTGAAAATTTACCAGACACTAAAGAAATTAAGCAAATAGAGGAAGCCCATACTGAGATGCCAGTGACAAAGGAAGCCTGGTCAGAAAATAAAACATCCTTACAGATAGATATTGCAGGTAATGGAGAGAGAGAGAGAGAATACATGTTAGCTTATAAAAGTACTGTTTTTAGGAAAAGATTAGTAACTGGACAAGCAGTGAATTTTCTGATACTTTAGATATACTTTTCTTTTAGTCTTAACTGCTCTCTGTTTAAATAATTATGGGTGAATAGTATTTACAAAAGGAATGAAAGTTTTTTAAGATTTTATTTATGCATACAGAACCGGGGTGCAGGCCAGAGGTGCATGGGTGTGAGAGAATTCACCAGAGACAGAGTGGGAAGCAGAACAGGCAAGTCTGGAGAGATCTGCCATGCCATGTGGATCACCTCCAGGGCTGAGGATTGAACTCACACTAAAGCGGCCACGGCCAGCTTTGCAGTGCTGCGCTCCAACCCGCTATGCCACCAGGGAGGGCCCAGGAATGAAAGTTTTTAAAGTATTTCATGATCTCTTTCTCCTCTCCTTTTTAGGACCTGGATTTGAAAATACAACCCATTCTGTCTTCAGGTCAGCCAAATTTTACTTTCATCATCCAGTACACCTGTCAAATGATCAAGATTTTAGTCATGAATCTTTAGGAAGGACTGTTTTCATGGGGCATGCTTGGAAAGATTTCTTTCAGCATCATCCAGACAACCATAGAGAACAGACTTCTCTTCCTCCCCCTAATCAAGATGCAGAAAAGAGAACAACAGACTATACCAAAATAGAGAGCCTCAGTATCAATGTGAATTTGGAAAACAAAGACGCAGTGCATAACCAGACTAGAGATTATTTAAAACTTGACCAGAAAATTAATGATCCAAAAAGGGATCATAAGATCATCCCAGAACAAACAACTCAACACACTGCAAGCTTGAATGAACTCTGGAACAAGTATCAGGAGAGACAGAGGCAACAGAAGCCTTCTGAGTTCACAGACAGGAAAGAATTATCCTTGGTGGAGCGACTTGATCGTTTGGCTAAACTTCTTCAGAATCCCATTACACATACTCTTCAGGCTGCAGAAAGCACACAAGATGATAGCAAAGAGGAACAAGATGTTAAAGAAGGGAGTGGTAAACAGCAACAGCAGAAAAACAAGCTTCAAAAAAAAAAGCGATATAAAGGTCTAGAGAAATGCTATAAAACTACAGATCTTAAAAAAAACAAGGTGTTTCCTACTCGTCAAATTGGGAGATCCAATCAGATTAAAATTGAGCAAATTAAATTTGATAAATATATTCTGAGAAGACAGCCAGGGTGTCATTATACAAACAACACTTCTTCAGATTCTAGGCCTTCAGAGGAGAGTGATTTGCTCACAGATACTCCCACCAACATCCTTTCCCCCACCACTTCTGTGGATTCAGATATATTGACTCAAACAGATAAAGAAGTGACATATGAAAGGAGCAGCTCTATTTCTACCATTGACACTGCCCGATTGATTCAAGCTTTTGGACATGAAAGAGTTTGTCTGTCACCCAGGCAAATTAAATTATACAGCAGCATTACTGACCATCAGAGAAGATACCTTGAGAAGCGGAGCAAGAACAAGAGAGCACTGAATATAGGTCATCCCCAAATGACCTCTGAGCACACCAGAAGGAAACACATCCAGGTACATGGCTACAAATTCCATCTGGCAATGTGACTGCCTTTTTCATGGACTTTTTAGTTAAGCTTTGCACACAGGTGAAAAAAAAACCCAATTACCCTTCCCTCACTATAACATTTCTTACCAACTGGAAAATAGTGAGAAAGTGTAGTACACTGCTATTGTGAGTTGTCATTCTTTTCATCAACACTCATTTACGAATTACCCTTTGAATGAGGGCTTTGCTGCTAAATGCTGCATAATCCGCAAAGTGTAACTGCCACAGGGGAGCTGCAAGCTCAGAGTGACCTCCATTCCGAACAGTATTGCATGGGGATTTTGTTTTTGTTTATTCCTCCCTGTCTTTCAAGAACTTTAATGTGTTTTTAAACATACACACAAACACACACATAAATGATACAATATGATTTTTTTAAGTAAAGGAAGAACTGGGATGATGATAAGTTAAGTTGAAATCAGAAAGGGGTGAGCTACAGCATAATTTAAAATAAGAAAATGAAGAATTGTGAGGGCAAGACAAGTGGAAGCCAGAGAAGAAATATACCTGTGGATATGGTTGCTGGAAGTAAACCACAAATTTCACTATTTCTAGCAGTTAGTGTTGTTAGAATGTTGTGATAAAATTGCATGAGGATAAGAAGGATTAATATTTCTGGTGCTAAGTTCTAAGAAAAATTTCATCTGTTCTCATAAAGAAGGCACCATTATGTAACAAACTCTTCAATAACATCTTTATAGTAGATTCAGAAACACCTGTATGATTAATATGGTTTAATTTTAAGGAGTTCAGTAATGCCAGATCTCCAGGGGCCAGTAAAAGTAGACCATTACTTTAACGCAAAAACAAAATTTAGAGCTGCTTCTATTATAGAAAATTATTAGAATTCATTTTTCTCAATCTCTTAAAAAGTTTAATATATACTTTATATGCATACAGTAGTACTATATGCTTTATAAATAAATACCTTCCCTGGTAATTTGTATTGAAAAATACTTCATCAGTAGCACCACACAATCAAGAAATAATTGGACATCTTTTCTAAAGGGAGGATATTTAGACAATTTACCATAAATATTATTCCTCATAATTGAAATTTTTAGCTATCAAATGACAATGAATGTGTATATAAATAATGTGATATACCTTATTTTTAAAATAAGTGAAGATTTAGGAATACCCAGATTAAGACACTTGTTCCATAGGGAGCACTGGGGAAAGGAACCAGGAAGAGGTTTTTGTGTATGCAGAGTAAAGTATAACACAACATAAAGCTTAATTCATTTAAAAGTATACAATTCAGTGGCACTGATAATGCAAGTATTTTGTAACTATTAACCACTATTCTAATTCTAGAACTTTTTAATTATCTTAGTAGAAACCACATATCCTTTAAAGATATTTCACCTTCCCATTCACAACCATTAATCTACTTTCTGTCTCAGAATTTGCCTTTTCTGGTTTATTTCTTGAAATTATATAATATGTGGCTTTCATGTCAGGCATCTTTCTCTTTAGCATACTGTTTTTGAAGGTCTCCCATTACCTAGCATATATTAGTATATCGTGTCAATTAATGACTTTTCAGCCAGTGACAGAGATGACAGTGGTCCCAATAGGCTATACTGCATTGCCTAGGTATTTACTCAGCTATACTGTCTAGGTTTATGTAATCAGGTACACTGGACAGCACTTACACAATGGGAAATTGCCTAACAGCATATTGTTTAGAACATAGCCCATTAAATAAGCGTTAACTGTGTTTCGTTGATCCATTAATGGGCATTTAGATTGTTTCCATGTTTTGGCTGCTATGAATAGAACTGATACAAACTTTTGTGCACATATTTTTATTTGAACGCCTAAATGCAGTTCTTTTGGGGATATACTTTTAAACGGAAGTGCTGAGTCATATGGTAATTCTATGTTTAGATTATTGAAGGAAACTGCCAGTTTTCCACAGTTGCCTACATCATTTTACATTCCCACCAGTTTGAGGGTTCTGATTTCTCCACATTTACTAGTACTGTGTTTTTACACTTTTCAAAAATATTCCTATCCTGTATTTCATTGCCATTTAGATTGTGGTTTTGATATTTGCTTAGTTTTCCCTAAGGATGTTAAACATCTTTCTTTTATTTGTTTGGCCATTTAAATATCTTCTTTGGAGTACTATCTATTGAAATCTTTACTTGCTTTTTAATTGGTTTGTCTTCTTTGTTTTTAAGACTGTAGACCCTTATCCGATGTGTTTGTAAATATTTGCTCCCCACTATCTTTGTTCTCTTTACTCATTTGTTTCCCTCTGTTGATGCACAATAATTTGACTCTGATGGAGTCCCAGCCTACTTTGTTTGTGCTTTTCATCGTTATCTAAGAAACCATTACCAAATCTAAATGAAAATATGCTTCTGTATTTTCTTTAAAGAATTATATACTTTTAACTCTTTTCATTTGTATCTATGATGTATATTGAGTTAATTTTTGTACGTGGTGTGAAGTAAGGGTCAAACCATTTTTTTTTCCACTTTAATGCCTAGTTATCCCAGAAGCAATTGTTAGAGATTGGTCATTCTCCAAAGAATGGTCTTGCTACCCTTGTCAAAAATCAATTGACAATAGAATATGAAGATTTATTTCTGTTCCAGTTCTCAGGCTGATCTGCATGCCTATCTGTATGTCGTTACTTAACTTTTGATTATCTAGCTTTGTAACAGGTTTTAAACTTGAAATGGTTTTTTCTCATAATCACTGGGTTCCCTTTTAATTCTGTTGATTATGACTTTTGATGCACAGAAATTTTTTTTAATAATGGTTTATTTTTACATCATTTTGTGCCTTTTTTTCCATTTCAGTTGTAATTCCTGTGGGCTTCCCATCACCACATCACCCATGTTCCATCAACACAGTCCAGTGCACTTTCCCCTACCCCAATTTTGATCCCATTCCCCACTCCACCCCTGTAAAATGTCTCTGGTATATAGTTGTTCATTATTATTATTATTTTCTCTCCTGGTCCTTTATACTCCTACTATGATTGAAAACATCCGGTATTTTCCCTTTCCTTTCTGGCTTATTTCACTAAGCAAGACCTCTTCTAGCTCCATCCACGTTGCTACAAACTGCATGTGTTTATTTTTTTTTTTTGATTGCTGAGTAAATAATAGTCCATTGTGTATGTGTGACACATCTTTTTAATCCAGTTATCTACTTTTGGGCATTTGAGTTGATTCCATGTCTTTCCTATTGTAAATAAAGCAGCAGTAAACATGGGGGTGCAGGTGTCTTTTTAAATCAATGTTTTCTGTCTTTTGGATAGATACCTAGGAGTGGGATTGCTGGGTCCTATGAAAGCTCCATTTTTAGCAGCTTGAGAAACCTCTAGTTTAGCAGTTTTCCATAGTGGTTGTACCAGTTTGCATTCCCACCAGCACTGCAGGGAGTTGCTTTTTCTCCACATCCTCACCAACATATGTTGTTGCTAGTTGTTTTAAGATGTGCCATTCTCATTGGTGTAAGATGGTATCTCACTGTGGTTTTGATTTTGAACATTTTTTCATATGCTTGTCCATCTGCATTTTCCTCTTTGGAGAAGTGTCTTTTTAGCTTTTAGCTCTTTTGCCCATTTTTTGATGGGGTTTATTTTTGTTGAGTTTCATTAGTTCTTTGTATATCTTTGTGATCAATCCTTTATTGCTAGTTTTGTGTGAGAAATTTTTTTTTTCAATCAGTGGGATGTCTGTTTGTCCTTTATAATGTCTCTTTTGCTGTACAGAGGCTCTTTAACTTGATGTAGTCCCATCTGTTTATCCTTGCATTGGGTGCTATAGCTTCAAAGATGTTACTGAGGTGGATGTTGGATGCACAGAATTTTTTTTTAAGAGTTTTTATTTATTCATACAGAATTGGGGTACAGGCAAGAGATGCGGAGGGTGAGAGGATTCACCAGGGACAGAGTGGGGAGCAGAACAGGCAGATAGATGAGATACACTGCTGAGGGGAGCAGCCGGCGGGTCAGGAGAGGTCTGCCGCGCCATGTGGATCTCCTCCGGGGCAGGCGGGGATTGAACTCATGCGGAAGTGGGTTAAGCTTCTTAGTGCTGTGCTTTAACCTGCTGTGCCACCAGGGAGGGCCCACACAGAAATTTTTAATAATTCAGTCTCAATTGTTTTTGTGACCTGTGCTTTTGATGTCATATCCAAGAATCATTTCCAAAACCATTGTCAGAAGTTTTCTCCTAAGAGATTTATGGAGTTAGGTGTTAAGTTTAGTTCTTTAATCTATTCTGAGGAAATTTTTGTGTATGGTTTAAGGTCAGGTTCCAGCCTGAACAGTCCATGACTGAGTAATTGCCTATTTAGAAGACACTGGTTGAATCTCCTTCCCAGAACTTGAAGTCTAACTGCATATGGCTTGTATTTCTCTTTCCCCTCAGGACTTGGGAAAGTTAGAGAGATAGTAGATGATTCTAAATTAAAATTTTTTGGACAACTACAGTAGGTGACCTTGTTTACTGCCATTGTTTTAAAACTTGTAAACTGGTGGCCACATTGCAAGTATCGGGATGAGGTAAATTACCTAGTTCTGTGAGGCATGCATTAGGGTTTTGTCACTGTATTACTTTAAGCACAGCCTGATGACTACTTTAGTGGAATTTTCATGTGGGCAATGATGTGAATGAGAGGTCTTTTTTTTCCCCCTAAGTGAATCTTAGAATTGCAACTAAGATTTTTAAATTTAAGAGATAACTTTCCAGGCTTTTTTCCTGGTTTCTTCCTGATCAGAAGAGGATATATGACAAATATTTATTTTGGCTAGAACAGGAGATACTGTTTTTTCACTGGGAACATGTCTTATAAGACATTTGCCTCTTTGTCCTGGGCCACTTATTACCTCAGTCCTTTTTCCTGAGATATCAGTAGGATGTTGGGGTTTAATTTATACCTTTCTATATGATCCTTTGCATAGGAAGAACTATATGAAGACTCTTTAAGTTTGGTCTCC